TTGTGTTTGCAGGTTCAGGGGATTTAAACGGAAAACAAATATGTGAGGATCAAAAATACATATGTAAAACTTTTGTCTGTATTTTGATTTTTTTACATGTATATGAAATGGAACACATTTGTGTGTGCAAGTGTGGATCCTGAAATACAAGTTTGAATCCTTCTGTGTGCATGTGTGTATTATGAGACTGTTCTGAGCCCATAGTACATGTACTAACACCACTAACACGTGCAATATAATTCGAAATAAATTAGGCTTGGATCATACTGAATGTGTTGCTTAAGAGTTTGCTAACATATCTGTTGTTTTGCTGTTGTTAAGCACTGCCCTTATTTACCTTGATTAAAATAAGACTTTCTTAATTTTTTGATGATTTGATCGTAGAGGAATGCCAAGTTTTCTTCAATAATTGAAGGTATCACGAGGTGAGTAATTTATATTCAAATCTTTTTTTTGTGGTTGAAATCTTTTTTTTTTAGGTTAGTAATGTTTTAAGGTTAGGGTTGGGTTCAGGTTAAGGACAACACATCATGTAGTAACACAACACACAAACAAGATGCAATTTGCAACTGCAGCACATTCAAACATATCACTCAGGAAGTGACACTGATAGATACTTACAATTAGTTAAATTGTTCAAACAAATTGTGACATATTTATCAAGGTGAAGGTTTGAATTAATGTGTGTTTGGTGTGTGTGTGTGTGTGTGTGTTCCCCTCAAACTCCCTCGCGCCCCACCTCCCAGCCCAGCTTCCAATCAGAGCAGACAACGTCCATTGGGGCCTCGCGACCGTAGAGCAGAGAGGAGACGGTGGGGGAGGGTCACGTGTGTACACACTAGTGTAGGCTCAGCAGCACTCTGCAGTAGTAAAGTCTGCAACGGACAGCCCCTTTTCAGAACAAGCCTCTTCCGAAAAGTTGATAGATAAACTCAGTCTCCACCGTAAGCCAGTAAAACGGTTCTTTTTAGGCTTTAAGAGCGCGTGGGAAGCTGAAGTGTGTATTTTAGGACCGCGTTTGTGAAATGAAACGACTGAGAAATGCCAGTGGAAATGCTACATCCAAACCCAATGCCGCCGTAGGTTTGCCACCGAGCCAAATATATACGTTTCTGGTGAGTTTTCCTCTTTTTTTATAATTTCGCCAACTAATGAGATTCAGGGTGCCTTGAATATTCACCTTACAGTGGTAGACAAGTCAATTTTCTCCATCGAGGATGAGTAGATGCGATGTTGAGTGACTGTGCCAACAATAGCCGCAGAAAATGGTAGATTAATGGTAAGAGCTGTGACAGCTCCGTACGCTTTGAACTGTGCAGTCAAGTGTGATGGAGAGACATGATGTGCGCAATAATAAATAGACACCACGTTAGAAAGGCTGGTTTGTTTTTCTTACCCTTGTTCGGCTGTTGTTGCTCCACTGTTTTAACAACATGTTTATATTTGGAAAGCAACACCTTAGTTTTCTCAAAGTGCTGGGAAAAAAGTTGTTATCAGTTTAATCAGAGTTCTTGAAGTTTAAAACTCCCTCACTGTCAATAGAATGTGTGGCTTTAAATAGACTTGTCTTTGCTTGAATAATAGCCTATATGACTCTTGTTGACATGACATCAGCCATTGGGCATAGAGATAATCAGATGTCATAGAGTTAATTAACCATATGTGATGCTTATAACTAGAATACTCAAAGATGAAGGCAGCCTTTGTTCGTAAATCCCAGGCCATCAATGAGTAATTACTACGTTTTTAGATATGTTTATTCGTTTGAACATCCATACAATATAGGATCATACTTGTTGAAGAATTATACAAATGATAGATTATTGTACTCACAAATCATAGAATATATTCCATGTGATGATAGTGTTTTTTTGACCAAGCTTGACACCTTTTATTTTGAAAAATGATATCAAGACTTTTTAATCAGCTTTAGAAGACATTATCTAATCATTTGTGACCCTTACTTTCGAATCATGTTCGACTCTGCAACCAGGAAGACAAGTGAACGCTCCTGAAGTAGTTCAGATCAGATAAGTCTTTACGGTCCCACCAAATGAAATGCTTCTTTAGATTTAGGCTTTGCACTTGTTGTTGTCAACTTCATCCATGTGACTGAAGGGGACATGGGTCGTGTGGGCCATGGCTTAATGGCGGTAAGCCTGCTTTGTGCTGACCATTGAACTCTGTTTGACTTTGTTGATGCCTGTCACAGTTCAACATGTTGCCAAAAAGACGCTGAGGAAGCTGTCTTGACAAGCTGTGACCTGTGCTTGACCAGAGTTTCTTACCCTGGAAGTTCATATGAAACATGACTACTGCCAAAAGACATTTCTGACATTGTTCAACTCCCTCTTGAGTTAATTAAATCGTCAACATTTTGGACCGTTTCTGCGATAAATCTGTCAAGATTTTTTAATTTTGGATTAGCAAAACAGTGGACAGGTAGATAAGTGACCTGTTTGATCAGTTTGCTTAAAAGTCTGTTTTCCTTTTGAGGAATTCATATCTTAAGTTATCTTTCCTGCAACAAAATTCCAGCCCTCTGACTCAAATTCTTAAGGCCCGGACACACCAGGCCGATTTCGGCCATCGATAGATGTCTGGCCGTCGATGAGCGTCCTGTCACCCTACTCGGATTGGTGTGTCCAGCACCGTCGTGCCTTTTCGGCCGTGCCGACACCTTCCGCCGGCAGCTTAGCGAATCAGTGCATGAGAAGCGAAACGGAAGTGAAGAAGGCACACGCAGACGGCTATTATTATTTTTTTTCCAGTACCGCACTAAACATGTTTTTGATTATAAGTCTTTATGTGAAACAGTCTGTTAAACAGTCTGTGATGGACGAGAGTGAAATTGGAACGCACGCTATTTTTTGTTTCTATATATCACGCAGTCTGTCTTCCGGTTGCCTCTTTTGAATTAAGAATACACACTACCGCCGCCTGCTGGTAAGGAGAGTTATTGCCACTCACGCATGCGCAGTGCATACGTGCTACTTGGCCGTCGGCTGAAGTCTTTGCGGTGTGTTCCAGTGAGACTTTTTGGCCAACACGCAGGAGACGTGAGGCGACACAACAATCGGGTCCGTCGGAACGTGTTCTTTGGTGTCAGTTTGGTGTGTCAGGGCCTTTAGGGACAAATGATGATTTGGGGAAAAATGTCACGATTATATTAAACCCTTCCACTTTAATCGGTAAAGTATTTGAATCACCCCTTGGTGATATTCATTTACAAAATGTTAGTCATGAATGACTGAAAAGTCAGATGGCTCATTAATAATCCCTGTTAATAGACTGCTTTCCAAGAACAAAAGGTTTAGAAATGCACTAGAACCGGAAAGATTTAGGGGCTGGAATAATAGGCACCTTAATGGCCTCTCATACTGTAAGTAGTTTAGCAGTTATGTGGGGGGTAGATACTCATTATACTTATTCAATTGCTAAGAAACTTCATGAATCAATGTGATTCTGTTTTATTTTGCTTCTGACATTGCTGCCCAGTCAATGCATGTGCAAATGTGAGTCATGTATTTTCTATCTGTAGTTGCTGCTCCGCTGCACGCTGCTGCAGACGCAAGGAGCGAATCATGTGACATCACTCAGTACTTTCTGAGAAGAGCCTGTAAATTCCAGTAAAGATATATGAGGGGTGTGGGCCCAGAATGTCACACTAACTCCCATCAGACGGCGATATCTGGCCTTCAAAATGCTCAGACGTCAAGCACGTGGGCGTCACTCTTACGAGATAATGTTTGGTGGGGCTGAAGCGCGCTGGAATACACCCCCCCCACTCCTCTGGGAATATTTAACTTAACCGCTTTTGACACGGACTGAGGCAAAAAGTTCAGAAGGGGCTTAACCAAGTCTACAACTGCAGTCCAAGTCGTGCAAGAAGAACTCTCACTAGAGCTTAGGCTATTCTTACTTGGCAATGTCATTTACATTAGACTCCTTTAGGATATGCAAAAGCCACCTTCTCCTGAACTTATTGTTGTATACTTGCATGCATTCTTCAATAACTAATATGCATTGTTAAATGACTGCATACATATTCTTCCAAGAGAACTTTATCAGGAAGTACACATGTTTTAATAATAGCAGAATATAGCTCCTGTTCCTGTTTATTTGAACGGCGTATCTCTGACCTTAACTCAACTCTGTTCTGCATCACTTCCATCTGTATGTGGCAGAAACTAGCATGAGCTTCAAACAGACATACTGTAGCTCATATATGAGTAGGAGGAGACGTTTTTCTTTCACCTCACTTCCCTCAGTGGAGTGGAAAAGTAGAGATTTTATTATCATGGGCTGCTGGCAAACTGTGCAGAGCTAAAGTGCATGACAACACCAACGCAGAGTTTGCTCAGAGTGATTTGATTCAGACACAGCAACGCTATCAGTGGATATTCACAAGTTTAATATGAAAGCTATTATTAAAAACATTGATTAGTTAAAGGTGGGGTAGGTAATTTTGGAGAAACCAGCTCGAGTGCGCTAGAATTTGAAAATACACAACCGGAAAAAATCTGCCACTTCCTTACAGAGCCCCTCCTCCAAAACACACGAACGTGCACATGACCAATGAGGGCACGAGATAAGTTTGTGCACAGATGGAAGGCTGACAGGCAGGTAGGCCATCCAGTTATTTTAGCCGGGCCGGCTCAGATGATTGGTCGTGCTTTTTACAGTACTACGGCTTCCACAGAGGACATTTTTTTATGGATTTGTTGTCAAAGCACTTAAGATATTCATTGCTATCGGGATGTTAAGAGCATTCCATGGAATATAACAAAAAGTGTATCTCGAGCCGGTTTCTCAAACTTACCTACCCCACCTTTAAGGCGATAATATCTGAATGTGATTTATTGTGCAGTGATTTGGAGGAATTGCTGTGGTATTGCTTACTAATACCAGCATGTTCTTCTCTTTTAAGGTGCCACAACCACACCACAGCAATTCCTCCAAATCACTGCACAATAAATCACATTCAGATATTNGGGATAAGTGCCGGCTATGCCAAGAGCTTGAAAAAGTGGGAGTTAGAGGGGCGTGGGTAACAATCTCCCAGGATGGGGTCTCACGTCACCACTTGCTGCACTGTGGAGCGTTCAGGAGGGCAAGACTGGGTTCTGCAGCGCAGCCTCCTGAGCAGCCGCTGGAGCTTGTTAGAAAAGTTTTTGTTCATCTGTCGATACATGAGAGGCATCGCAAAGCTGCTGGAGAACGCCAGCAGCTTGGACACGCATCTCAGAAAGTTATATGTGGGTAAGTAATGTGTGTTGCTAATGTGCCCCGGCGCTCCGGCCACAGTGTGTACCAGCAGGGTCATGTAGTACGGCGTCCACAGCACAAATTGCACACACACGGAGGCCAGCAGCAGTCTGTGGATGGAAGGGTCCAGGCGGGCCGAGTCCTGGTCGAGGGGCGTGGACTCCTTCCTGATGCGCAGGATGAGCACGAAGGCGTAAAAAACGGCCACGGCAGGAACCACGTAGCCGATGAACATCATGATGGCGTCCGCCGCCTCTTTGTTCTGCATTTTGGAGCACTCGACCATCTTGGTGGAGATGTGGTTGCACACGTAGAAGAGCAGCGAGGAGAAGCTGGTGAGCACGGCGCCGCCCCAGATGAAGCCGCACACGTGCTTGGTGTTGTACACGCTGGACATGTACGTGCGAGGCAGCGCCCGCTCGATGTAGTAGTCCAGACTGAGCAGCGTGGTGGAGTACATGATGACCAGGGAGGAGATGTTGAAGAGGATGAGCAGGGTGATGTACACCTCGTTGTTGTACTCCCACGCGTGCCAGCGGGTGAAGGAGGAGTTCAGCAGCTCCACGGGCGCCACCAGGTTGAGCACCAGGCCCGCGATAGCCATGTTGACGAAATAAACATCCGGCATGGTCATGGAGACCTTGTTGGAGAGGTTGACCACGATAAGCAGCACGTTGTAGCACAGCCCCAACGGGAAGCACACCAGGAGGTAGATGAGGGAGAACACGGACAGGAAGAGGCCGAAGTCCTGGCAGAGCCGGAAGTCCACGCTGGTGTCCGTCTCATTGTAAACCATGCAGAGCCACATCGCTCTGACTCTGGGCGCTTCGCTCAACAGATCCACTGCAGGCAGAGTGAGGGAGACACAAGTTAGTTACGGAACAGATACATAACGTCAACGTTGCAAATAATTGGCAGTCAAAATAAGAGCTGGCAAATATCTAGGGCTGCAACAATTCTTCTAGACAAGCTATGATTGCTGTCCATTCAACTTAAGAATGTTTTTATTCCAAAAGAGATAATAAAATCCCAATATTTTGATGATAAAAGTGCAAGAAATATGCAAACATAGACATGCAGGCCATTAAAGCCTATTTGAACTTTCTTTTTTTTTATGCAAGGAAGTCGATTAATCCAACATTTATTTTCTAGATGAACCGATTTGTGTAAATTGTAGGGCTGCTCGATTCTGGTAAAAATCATAATCTCGCTTATTTGGGTCAATAATTGATATCACGATTATTAAAACGATTATCCATTTACTTTGAAAACATCCATTCATTGAAAAAAAAATTTGAACAGTATGTTTTGAACAGTTGATTACCCTGAACTTTAAGTATAATTCAACTGAAACATTTATAAAATAATTTAAAAAATAATAATTAAAAAAATAAAAAAAAATAAAATAAATAATCGTTTTATTTCGATTATGTTGTTTTCATAATCGTTGCAAGCCAAAATCGTAATTGCGATTAAAATACGGTTAATTGAGCAGCCCTAGTAAATTGTCATAAAAAAGTTATAACTATCCATCCTAAGTCGGAGGTGATGTTTATAAATGTCTTCTTTGTTAGTCCAGAACTCAAAGATGTTCACTTTAATAAAACATAAACCAGGAGAAAGCAGGAAATCGCCAATTTGAGATCATTTTCTGACAGATATGCAAGAAAAATGTACTAAAACGATTCTAGGATTATCAAAATAGTGGTAAATATATGGTAAACTATCAATAGAACCACCAGTACTTTCATATGGCATTTCATTGAAATTCAAAAGAAAAGAACAGCATGCAGTTTCATTTCCGTGTGTGAGACCAATAAAATAAGTTCATAACATTATACCCTGTATATTATCACTGTATTAAGACCCTGTGAGGAAAGGAAATTAAAGCAATACCACAATTATAAAACACCCAAAATCACATCGTAATTCCTGTGAGCTTATATGGACATACGTTTTATGTATTATGGATATGGTTTATGTGCGGCTCTGCGTGTGTGCTTCGTGTTTTGCTTGGCTGCAATAAAAAATGTAACAAGTTTAAGCTGAGAGTTGAAAATCCCAGCGGACATTACTCACTTATTATATTACTGAAGTCAAACTCTCTGCTGCTGGCAATTATAAGTATTAGTCCAAGTTTTGAGGAAGTCACAACAAAACACACCACATTCACTTGTTTTTCCCCTCCATGAACAAAATGGAATTGGTTTCTGGGAGCAAACAAGGCCTTGCCACACACAAAAAAAACGAGTCAGCCACGGCACAGCTATTGTACCCTGGGTAACACTGTTAATTTCACTTCACTGCATCTGACTGGCTGAATACAAACGCCTCACAATATGTCTCGTTTCGAAACCCACTCGTTCTCCTCTTTCAGAGCCACACCGGGGCCGAGCAAGTGTTTGACGCCTCGGCAAGCCTTTCCTGTCTCGCTCGACTGCTCTCTCCCTCTCTCTCTATCACTGTCACATGCAGGGGGCATTGCTAGCTGCGCAGTGCTGCCCTTGTGCTTTTCACATGGTCAAGCAGCCAGGACAAAAAAACAAACACTTTTCTTGCCTGGCACTTTATAGACTGCTCCAGAGGTGGGAAGTAACTAAGTACATTTACTCAAGCACTGTATAACTTTTTAGATACTTGTAGTTTATTTGAGTATTTCCATTTTATGCTACTTTGTACTTCTACTCCACTACAGTTCCGAGGTAAATCCTGTTCTTTCACTCCACAACATTTCTTTAGTTACTTTACATATTTGGATTAATGATGTGACATATACACAACACTTAAGACTGTAGCTACACCTGGAGTAGCATTCACAAGCTACCCTGCAGTATACAAAGAAGTGGGGGGCACGTGTTGATGGGTAGATTTATAAAGAGTGAAATGTGAAGCAGGCTCTGGCGGAGGGTCGGCTAGGATCAAGGCGCGGGGTTGGAGTTCACGGTGAGGTCAGAGAAGATGACTGCGCGCACGTTGGGAGTGTTTGAGAGCGAGCTTGACAGGCCTGCAGGATTTGAAAAGGTTGTGTAATGCTGCCTGCATAATTAACTCAGGTCACTTTAAGTGAATTATTCAAACAGCTTCAGGGAAGGAAACGGGAGATCAGAGGGCTATCGCAGGGCCGTAGTGATAAGTCATCTAAGCAGTGTCACTGTGTTTTATTTCCTCAGTGACAATTTTAGCAGTTGGGTTTTCCACATGTTTGGCTTCAGTCCCGAAGCTGCTTTAAAAAGGGAAAAATAAAGAGCATAACACTTTTTTTTTTAAACGTATCGTAACAGAATTTACTCCCAAAGCCTCCCCCTTGAAAATTCTGCGGAGCAAAGTGCAGGAAGGCAGTTTTGTTTTCTCGCAGGATGAGTAACGATACCAGTAAAGGGGAAACATTCTTCTGTTCACTTACGTAACACCACTACTCAGGGGCTGTTTTGGCCTGAAGCCTCACACACAGACGCACACACACAAGGTCCCTCCTCTATACTACTCCAATTGGCTGTAATGGGACTATTATAGAGGCTGGGGCTCAGAGCTGGAAAGTGTAGAGTTACTCTTTACAAAACAACCTGTCCTCACTAAGACAGGAGCCCCGCTCAGATGTCTTGTAAACACGGCTCTCTAACGTAAGCAGCTAGGTGACTCATTTACTATGATCAGGCCTTGACACAAGAACATAATCAGCTATGGTGCTCTCCCATAGATGATGTGCTTCTCTCGAAATTGGAAGACGTTTGTTTATCTTTTACTGCTTTAACATCGTCTTATCACTTAAGGAGAAAATGACTTAAGAATAGCTGGTGAGACTAAAGGCATTGTGGTCGGTCGTGCCCATTCATTATCACCTGCTGTGTACGGATGGTTTAGCCACCCTTTCATTAGCAAATTGGCTCTACTACTTCTAAGAGCTTCCTTACAGTCTGGGTAAAGACAGTGTTAGCCTAGTGTTTGACACAAGACAAAGACAAAGCGATGGGGGAATATAGATGAATTCTAACGCTATGACATTTACATTTTGCAATTTACTGGTAAACTGAAAACTGAAACTGGAATTTCTAACGTTCACTTACTCAAAGTGAAACAAATTTGACATAGTGTTTAATTATGTTTAATTTTCCACTTTTTAAACCACTCAAGGAATAGATACAATGCAATGTGGTTGTGGCACCTTAAAAGAGAAGAACATGCTGGTATTAGTAAGCAATACCACAGCAATTCCTCCAAATCACTGCACAATAAATCACATTCAGATATTATCGCCTTAAAGGTGGGGTAGGTAAGTTTGAGAAACCGGCTCGAGATACACTTTTTGTTATATTCCATGGAATGCTCTTAACATCCCGATAGCAATGAATATCTTAAGTGCTTTGACAACAAATCCATAAAAAAAACATCTGTGGAAGCCGTAGTACTGTAAAAAGCACGACCAATCATCTGAGCCGGCCCGGCTAAAATAACTGGATGGCCTACCTGCCTGTCAGCCTTCCATCTGTGCACAAACTTATCTCGTGCCCTCATTGGTCATGTGCACGTTCGTGTGTTTTGGAGGAGGGGCTCTGTAAGGAAGTCTGAAGGAAGGGGCAGATTTTTTTCGGCTACGTACTTTCAAATTCTAGCGCACTCGAGCTGGTTTCTCCAAAATTACATACCCCACCTTTAAGGAGAGACTTTCACCTTTTAAATAACATCACAGGGTCAACAGAGCGTGACTATGACAAGCTTAGAAAATGCTTGATAAACAGTAGACAACGAGAAATAAGAGCAAACAAACCAACGCAGGAGTGCTTTATAGGCGGCATGACAAATGGAAGTCCAATTGTATGGAAGTCTATGAGAAAATTGCTCTTCTTCTCACCTGATTTAATACCTCAGTAAACATTTTCCTGATGAGTTTATGGCCTCGATCGCTAGTTCCAAGTTTTCTCCAAAACAGCATGATGTTAATTTGGTAAATGATGGACGTATTTATAGAAGAATAGACGATAGAATACTGTATGCTTTAAGGCGGACACTAAATTGTGACAGAATTGTCCAGTTAGTGTGTTGTGTGGCTTCTGTCTTAGAACTTTAACCCTTTTACAGTGTGGTTGATTGATGATTGGTCGCCTCAACATGTCTTATTTATTTCCATCCAAATGAGTGTAGATATGACAGGTTTCAAAATGCCTAATGCATGATACGCAGTCCTGAATAAGCAAACACATGGTTGTAAAACTGAGCTGTCAAAAGAGAATAAAGAGCTATCTGTGTCCATGCAAAGCCTCACATTACACCTGCTGTCATCCCCTGACTTTCCTCCATACAAGGCTACATGAATTATTGAGCGATGCCATGCTTTGTCAACTACTACACCTCCGATTGAGCAGAATCAATATTCAACGTCCTTTTGCAATTTATAAAAAGACAGATCCATGTTGAAGCTGTCCAAGCTGGATACATCATGCCATAATACAAAAAGTCACCCACAAAGCTGAGCACATGCTTCCTCTGTGTCTCTAGTTTCCCACAGGCAACAACTGTCTCTACTCTTTAGCTGTTTTTATTTTAAATGATGCTACAAAGTCCTCAGCGGAGGATATAAAAGCCACAACATTCAGAGTAATATCTGCAGGTCTGTGTACTCACCTTTGTTAGGGAAGGAGTGTGTGTGTTCGTTGCTCGGTGTGTGTGTTAAGAGCTCCGCAGCGCAGTAAGCAGCCTCTCCTCTCCGTCTCACTCCCACTGTGAGCTGGAGTAGAGTGTGTGTGTGTGTGTGTTCCCTTTCACTGGCTATTGTTACCGGGAGGGGAGCCAGACTGAGCATGCTCCAACATGAACAGCCATTGAGGTTGGCATGGAGACCAG